GTAGCTTAAAGTCAGAAGTCAACTGCCAGTTAATAGACTTGCGTGCCGTATGAGTGAACCACATGGAGGTAAGTCTACCGCAGACCCCATATCGCCAACATTGAATAGTCCTTTGCTTGGACTTGTGACTAGACCCTCCATAATCTGATTTATTCGTATCATTTTACATCCGAAGAGAGAGGATCAATTTGGCAATGATATATTGAACATAGCACAGTCTACTATAGTTGGCTCAATATGACTAACAATGAACGATTATTGATTAAATCAAGTTCAACCTAAATTTTCTGTCGTATAGTTCAGGGTTCAGGAAATTTCTTGCTTCTTTCATTTTTCTCTCTCTTTTTGGTGACAATTTTTAACCGCTTCTAAGATTTGATGCCTAAATTTAGTGTGAAATAAATGATAATTGATTTGACGAAGGAAAATAGAAAAATTCTCTCAATTGCCACACCTCTTCCTCAAGCTATAAATGATTGTGCACACCTAAAATTGGATTCTTTTATGGATTTTGAAAACAAATCATTAAAGATAGCTGCTGAATCAGTGCATCGCAATATACCAATTCTAGATCATCTTTACCGTTCGATTTTAGGTAATTTCAGAATCAGAATATGAAATGTGGTCGGCACAGTGGACTGCGGCTGATAATGCCTACACAAACACGGAAGAGTTGAAGTACAAACTGATGGAGGATATTGAAGTCAACTTGGAGCTTCTCGGTACATTTATTCTTTGATTTGCTCAATTCAGCATTGATTGTCGAACGTGGATGTGTGCTCACTGCATTTGGTTCTGTATCGGGCCTTGATTAACACATCACCCTGTTGATGACATGGCTATGACAAGGTCATCTATGTGTGAAATCGAGAGTTTGGAATTTTTAAAAGAATGGAACGACAGTACAGTTGGAAACCTGTGGCAAAAATGAGCCAATTCCTGTTAAAGAGGATACGCTTTCTCTTGAATTGTATGCGGTATGAGTGTTTAGGGGCTAGTAATATTTCATAAATTTTACGTAGCAGTCTTAAAAATTTTGAGGATTTTCAATTGAAAAGGAGCGAATGTTTGCTAGTTGATAAAGATTTCTAGTATGTTCCCTTACTTAAAGGAATTTTCCCAAATATCGCAACTTAGGAATGTTTGGAATTGTGTTCTCAGTTGTGTGCCAGTTTTAATCAATAAATTTATCGAAAAGTCATTATTGATTACCATGCTTCTCGATTGTGTGTGTGTGTATGTGTGTGTGTATGTGTGTGTGTGTGTGCGTGTGTGTGTGTCTATAAACTAATAAACAATTGATGTCAAAACGCCCAAATAAACATTGTAGAATGTAGACATCCGATGAGTCATACCTTTGACTTCGTCAATTAATTGACTGGTCAAAAGCAATGCCCATGTATGATCAGCTTGTTGCAAACTTTGTGGGGTTCTTTAACTCGATAACATTAATTGAAATTGAAAGTAGAGTCAAAATTTTCAGAACGACATTTTTTTGCATTGTGTATTATGATAGGTGTTTTCTTCTGATTCTACTCCTAGTGAGTTATTATATTTATAGCGAAGTGCATATACTTCGTTGTGTTTGCCTCAAATTACTAAAGTGGGTTACATTTCCATCTATTCTTTCCTTTCGTTGTTTTAGTAAAGTAAACTACATTTTCATTCGGCGACGAAAGGTGCTTAAATAGTGCTGAGATGATGGAATGCATATAATAATCTCAGGCCATAAAAACGCAAATTTATTTCTTTTCCTTATCGTTTTTATCGTGCTGAGATTGTGGTATTTTAAATAAGCTATTCAAAACACAGCAGCAAAGTGAACTCATATCATCCGAATTTTTAAGATGTTCTAAAGTGGTGAAATGAAAGTAATGAGAATTCTACCTGGCAATCTAAAATTTTAGAATTTGATTTACTTTGTTTTTAACTGATTTTCTTGAGTTCGTTTTGTTGCAACTTGCGATATTTAAGTTCGTCACCTGGATAGGGGGCAAATTCTCGTTCCAATTCATGGAAAACAAAATTCCTTGTGCGGAATTAGATAGCTTGTATGATCTTAACCTAGGGAAGGTGGGATTTCGGAATAAATTCACTTATTTATTTCAAATGGCAGGCATTTTGATAGTTATCATTAGTCATTTAGCTGACTTCAGGCTTCATAGAGAGGAGGAGGAACATCAAAGTGACAAAAGTCGAGAGAGGGGACAGAATAATGATTCACAGATGTGACAGAGACAGACAAAAGAGCAGAGAAAAGGTAAGATGAGTACTGTGAAAGGAGTCGAATATGACATACAGTGAGGTGATGGTAGTTTGAAGTCAGAAGTCAACTGCCGGTTAATAGACTTTTTTACCGTATGAGAAAACGTTGCCCAGAGTGCACCACGTGGAGGAAAGTCTATCGCACACCCCTATTTCGAAATATGTAAAATCTATATTACTGTACTCAGGAGCTACAGGGATAGAAGATAGTCTACAAGATGGCGTTCCAGACACAATTGCAGCTCTTCGAGAAGCTGGTATGAAGGTCTGGGTGCTCACTGGAGATAAAGAGGAAACCGCCACAAGCATTGCTTATGGCGCGAAGTTAATCACGGAAGAACAACGTGTTTTTGCTCTTTCAGCGCCTAATGCGGTGAGTTCATTAAAATTAAACAATATTCAAATAATAAACTTAAGTATTATTTTGGCTTTGAAATATATTGACACTTTCAGATAGAAACAAAACGTCAATTGAAGAATTTTTTGTTTGAATTGACGACCAGACATAGCACAACAGAGTCGACGTTGAGTTGTATGGAACCATGTTCTGTACTAAGAGGTGCAGAGGTGCCATCAACTTCCTTAAGAAGGATTTTTTCCCACAGAAACAGTCTTTATATTTCTGAAGGTAATGATTGGTTCTCGATGTTGAAGTCTCTTTAGATATGCCTCAAGAAGGTGCCGCCTTGATTCTCGATTCTACTTGCTTACCCTTTGTTCTTGAAGACGAAGTGAAGGAGAATTTCATCAAGTTGGCACAACTATGCTCCAGTGTCATCTGTTGTCGAGTTACCCCCTCACAAAAGGTATGTAAGTCATAGTGATTTGATAACTTGGCAGGCGTTTTGATAGCTATCATTAACCATTTAGCTGACTTCAGGCTTCACAGAGGAAAGGTTCATCAAAGTAGCAGAAAGTCGAGGGGTGGGGAACAGAAGAGCGATTCATAGATGTAAAAGAGGTAGACAGACACAAAGGTAGAGAAATAGGTAAGATGAGTACTGTGGAAGGGGTCGAATATGACAAC